AAACCCAACACGGGGAAACTATTGGCTAGGCTAGCAGCGCGGGACGAGAGCGACAACAAAAGATTGCAGCAGTATGAAAAAACGATCGGTTTGAAACGCACCACCAACTACCGGTCGTTTTCACCTCTCACACCGCTATGCAACAACGGAATGAGAGTGGGAGAACACAACCAAAAACACCACATGAGCGACTGGGTGGCCGACGCCGGCCACAAACTTAGCACTGAGTACTCACGCTGCCGTAGACCGAGGGCTTGAAGCCAAGCCACCCGGCGGAGTGAACGCTGTTGTACTTGGGGACGGTCGTCAGCAAAACCTCCTCCGTGGCGCGAGTGGCGACCGGGTCCCCCGGGACGTACGTGAACCTGGCCAGCCGGTTGCGTTGGTTCTCCTGCAGAGGAAGGAGGGTGCGATTGAGAAACAACACATTTTTTCAAGAAACGACTTTGGCCATAGTCGCGAACCTTGGCGAGCCGGTTGCGAATCTCCTGTGCAGCTACCCCCCCCCGATTGAGAAATAATGTACTGCTGTACATGTTTGACGACATAAAAATGACATTGGCGAGCGGGTTGCGTTGCATCTCCTGTAGAGGAACGAAGGCGCGATTGAGAAACAATCGCTTTAGGAAACGATTTTGGCGACAAACCCGATCTCGGCATGCCGGTTGCGTGCTGTCTTCTCCTGTATGTACAAGAAGGAGGGCCCGCGATAAGGTTAAGAAATAGACGAAAGGTAGGCTCGGAATTCGGCGATAAATACGCGTAAACTTGGCTATTTAGCCGGTTGTAGCATGCACTGGAATGAACACTCTTTTGTGCGTGCAACACCGACAGCGGAAACAGCATCGACGACAAACAACCGACTGCGACCACGTCGAATGAAAACAAACATTAAAACGTCGCCGGCCGGCCGGCCGGCGACCTATGGAAGACTTACGCCGTCGTCAAGCAGGACCGTGTAGCTGACGTAGAAGTACTGCGGGTAGGAGTCGTCGCCGAACATGGGCCCGAATGCCAGGTCCAGAAGACCCTGTCCATGCACACATACATGCAACAACGTAAATGGTTGGGCGCGGCAGCACTCCGCATGTATGCCCACCAAGCGCAACACTGGCGCATTTCGTCAGCAAGGGAATGGGAGAGGTGCGGCGGCAGCACTCCCCAGGTCAAGAGGCGAAAAGAAGGAACGGCACTCCATAATTTCGTGCCACCAACAAATTCCAGGGCAGAAACCTGAAGCTCGACCGCAAGAACAGTCACCCGCCATTCTTCGCAACCTCGATCCCCCCCCCCCCACCCCCCCGCAACCTCAAAAAAAGGGGAAAAAGCAGCCAGCGGCCTTTTTTTTTTTTCAATTTGGAAAACCGCCGCCCCCCCCCCGCCCCGGTAAAAAACAGGGGGGTTCCGCCCCCGCTTTCCGGGGGTGGGAGGACAAACAATGGTTTAAAAAATAACCCCCCCCCCCCCCCCCCCCCCCCCTCCATTTTTTTGTAATCGTGGAACCCCCCCCCCCCC